TGGCCCCCCCCTGCCGCAGCAAGGTCGTCAAACCCCACATCCCGCTCCGAGCACCAGCAGCATCTCCAGCTGCCCATAGTCCTCATGGGCGGCTGGATCTCCCCGGGGCAAATCGAGGACGTTCCTGGGAGACTGGTGATTTACACCCGATCCAAGCCAGGCAGAAATTCAAGCAACAACCACCCAGTGGCCCCGCACGTTTCGGAAGAGGCAACACACCATCTTCCAGGCTCTGCAGCCCAAGCTGGCACAGGGATGGGGATCACTGCGGTCTCCGTGCCCGGGCTAAACCCACGCTTACCCGGCACGAGGTGGGTGTGCGTAAAGCACTGCTCATGGGATGTAATCCTATTTGGATGGGTAAATGTTTACAAACCCCAGTTAATGGGGCTTGCCATTTACACAGGAGGTAAATCCCCAGTTTCTCACCACACACCCGCGTAAATGTCAGCTTTGCAGACATTTCTATTAAGGAGGGAAAAAAGAAACTCGGAGCGTTTGCACATCTGATGTAAACTGATTTAAAATCGCAGTTTACCCACATTTCCATAATGTTTGCTGATTAATAAATTAGATACTTAGGAAATCAGGGGTAGTTCCATGTGAATCATTCTGCTCCATAAACAACAGGAGCTGCAAGACGTTGCTTTGCCTGGAGAGCAGCTCATCACCTCGAAGCGTGGCTGGGTCTCCAGCCCCGCCGGACAGGGGAGGAAGCAAGGGGGGTCCCCAAAAGGCCCTCCCGACCCACCCTTCTTCCATGCCACGGGTTGAGGCTGGATGGAGGAGCAGAACCAATGCCTGGATCCTGCCATGGCCGATGCTCAGCGAGGCCACGCGCCAGCTCTGACCCACGCGTGGGTGGCATGAAGCAGCCCAGCCGTGGCAGCAGGGGGTTCCAAGCCAGTGAAAGTAGATTTTTCCTCCTTTGAGCTCGGCATCGCTGTGGTTTGATGGCAGCAATGTGCCAGGCGGGCACTCTGAAGTCAGCTCTAGTGGGTGCCTGCTGCAAACACGTCCCTGCCACGCTGCAAGGTGCATCCTCTCTCCTTGCAGACACGTGCGTGCCATGCTGCGAAGGCAGCTGTGCGGACTCATCTGCTCCCTGTTGCAGACGCACCTACACCACGTTGCAGACGCACCTACACACTGCAGGCACGGTTGGCTCCTGCCATTCACATCCCGCTTCCCACACCCCGGCCAGCAGCATGCGTAGAACACGTCGGGCTCGGTGTGAGTGCCCTGAGTGCATTCATCCCCCCAGCCCCCCTCCCAGCCAGGCTGGCCCCTCCGCACCTGATATCGTCTTCGTTAGCGAAGATGATGACAGCCCGAGCGTGGGAGGTCTCCAGGAGGCGGCGGATGATCTTGTCGAACTCTCCCGGCTTGGGCTCCCGTGGGATCTTGACGGACTGGGCCACACACACACCCCCTGTGGCAGAGAGAGCCCTGAGGCACCCCATGAGCCCCCCATTTCCAGGGACAGCCCTTCTCCCACTGCTCCTCAGCCCCACCACAGGCAAACGGGGGTCTCTCCCCAGCTCACCTACACTCCCACCCCAGACGGGATCAGCACCCGCCACCTCCTCCGGCACCGTGCCATCTCCACAGCCCACCGATCCCAGAGCCCCCTGGCCACCACCCAGCCCCCCAGGACATGTACCCGAGCCCTGCCCTTACCCCCCTCTCCCAGGTCGCTTCCTTCACCCCTCCTCTGCTCTGCAGCTCAGCCCTTCTGTGCCATCTTCCCTCCCATCCCGCATCTCCGTAGCTCATCCATGCCTTCCACCCGCTCCTCTTTGTACCTGTCACAGGAACCTCCAGCCACAGCCACATCACGCCCCGTCCCCCCAGCAGACACCCAGTCCCATCCCGGCACCTCGGAGCGGGTTTTTCCAGCCAGCTCCAAGCACCAGCCTCTCCCCAGCCCAGGAATGGGTTTTGCATAGGGCTCTGCACGTGCACCGGACTGGCAAAAACAGCCCTGGGGAAGAGGAGATGATGGGCTGCAGCCCTGGCACGAGCCTATTGCCCCCGAGACAGCAGCCTGGCCCTACGAAGGGATTTATTCCCATCCCTGTGGCTCCGGCTGGACTCCCAGCCCAGCTTTCAACGAGGCGATCACAAAAGCAGTTAATTAAAATTAAAAGAGACAAGGGGAAGCTGGCAAGTGGAAGAGTCCCCACACACGGCTGCTGGGCTCCCAGCCTCCAGCTCCGAAAAGCCAGAGCCCTCCTGCTCCTGCATTTTTGCAGATGCCAATAAAAAGAGAGATGGGAGAGAAAATGAAACATTTTGGGACCTTCTGGATGTAATTGACGGTCTCAATTTGCATAGTAAATAACATGGCTGATACCTCGCCTGCCACTAAAAGATCCCCGCTTAAGCAAAGGTCAGAGTAATTAGCACACGGTGGCAGGGAGAGATTTCCCAGCTTATGGCCCTGGAGAGGAGCAGGGGGAGGGCAGGATGGGGACAGGCAGCGCGGCAGAGGCCTCTGGGATGGGAAAGTTTGCTCCTTCCCACAGTGCTGGAGGAAAACCGGGGTAATTTGTCCCGCTGTAGCCTAACGACACGGACAGGGGGGGTCTGATGGGTGCCGAGCGTGCAGGAAGGGAGGTCGCAGGGATGGGGATAACAGCATCCCGCAGCAAACACCCACAGGCCAGGGGAGCATCACCCACCCCCAGCACCCTGAGCCCACCACAGAAGGGGTGGCTTTCAGGGTGGGTTTTTTTTTCCTATGGTAAGAAATTGGGCCAATTTGCTGTTTGTTCCCCATATGGGGAGCCAGATGGATGGAGAGGAGGGAGTTGGATAAACAGACTCCCGGACAGACAGATCAGCCAGGCGAGACGGGCAGCAGCAGGCAGTGCCGGCAGGACGGGCACATCCCCGGTCACCATCGAGCCCCCAGCCAGGCCACAGAGTGCCCGGGGCTGTGCCACCAGAGACAATGGCTCCGGCTAGGGAGCCGGTGCCGCTTAATTACAGTTTCCATGGCAATAAAAGGAGAAAATCCAAGAAAAGCAGCAGTTTGCAAACACGAGCGCCTTCCAAAACGTAGGGTGTGTGCACACACGAGTGACAGCTCGGGGCTGGCACAAGCGCACACCCACGTGCCACCGGGCACCAACATCGCGAGGCTGCCGTGCTGTGTGCTCTGCTCCGGGCTCGTGTGAGCATGGGAAGCCACACGCCGTGACACGTGGCCCTGCACACACGGGTGTGTGACACAGGGACCCAGGGGTTACAGCACCAGCCCCTTCCCAGCACGGCCAGAGCCAACCTGGCTCCGAGACTTTCCAGCCCACCACCTTCGCACGGGGGTCCCCCCAATGTGTTTTATCCCCCTCACCCCAAGCAGTGGCTTTGAGCATTCCGAGGATCCCATGGCTGTCCCACACCAGCTCTGCATGTGCTGCTGGGGTACACGGGACCCCAGGCTGGAGGAAGCTCAGCAAAATCCAGCTCAAAAGGGAAGGATAATCCTCACAGGGGCAGCAAGTGGCCTTGGGTGAGCTTGTGGCAGGGACTGTCTTCCTGTTCACGTGGCAGGAGGGGGTGGCAGAGGAGACGGGCCCATAAATAAATAAGAAAGGAGACTAAATCAATGGCAACTCAGAAACGACCAAGTTACTTGGCAGCTCTGTTAAATCAAACTAACAAGGAACATAACAGAAAAGGGATCTGGGCAATTAGGATGTAATGAGGATGTTAGTTACGCAGTGGCTGGAGAGTGTGGCGCGCGCGAGCAGGACGTGGTCAGGCCAACGGGAGGGGAAAGAAGGGATGGAGACCCAAAGAAGGGGCTGGATGCTGGGAAGAAACTACCCCGAGGATGGACACATGGATCTGCAACCCTTGGCTGTGCTGCCTGTGCCCTACAGTTCGCTACGGCTCTTCGGGGCTCTCCAGGCTCAGGAATCACACCAACCTTGCCCAGCTAAAAGCCCTGGTTGGGTCTGGGAGCCCCACATTCCCACAGCACCCTCCTCCAGCCAGTGCGTCAATGCTGGCAACGAAGCTTAAGGTGTTTATCTTCTTCATTAAAGAACAAAAAGAGGTCGGGGAGGCAGGGGGAGGTGGCTGGGGTGGGCAGAGCTGTGTGTTTCAGGGCAGCCCTGCTCACCTCCAGCAGCCCCGGCTCTCAGCACCTGCATTATTCATGGCCCCCGGGCGCCGCGGCGGGAAGGGGGATTTGCCAAGTGATGCTCCTACTGTCTTCGCACAAAAATCCATTTAGTCAAAACACTCCTCTAAAGCAAGAAATCAAAGTGAGGAGGCGGCAGCGATGGGGAGGAGGCGGCTGCTCTTCCTCCTCCAGCGGGATGGCGTGGCATCGCTTCCTGCCTTAGGCCAAGGTCTGACTCTGGGAGAAGGCAGGAGGTGAGGGACGGGGACCCTTTTCCTCCTCCAGCTTTAGAAAAGGACCAAAGAGGAGCAGGAACAGTGGGGAGGACTGGGCAGCATCCCACAGCCAGCTGCTGGAGACAGCCTGGAAACAGGCACCAGATTCAAGGATGCTCAGCCAAGATCCCATGCAGACCATCACTGACGGATGCAGCGCAGGATGCAGGGTGCTTGCAGCAAGAAACACCCTTGAACACCCAACCCGAGCCTATTTCCAACCCTCCCATGGGCTGGGGCAACAATCAGGCACCCAGAGCTGCAGCCTCACAGCCCGGGAGCATCCGGAGCTGCTTTTGGCTCCGGATGAAGCGGGTGGCAGCCCGGTCCCACAGCGGCAAAACCAGCAGCTTCGCAGGGAGGCTGCTGGGAAGAGCCAGGGATGAAATATTCAGCAGCCAACATCCGGGTGAGCAAAGAGCAAGAGGGAGAGTGGAATAGCGGGGACGTAATTACAGGATGTGGCCAAGCATGCCCAGCACTGCCACTTGCAGCCCTTTCTCTGCCGCCTGCCAGAGCTTGCCATACCAAGCCCACCTGGGTTAGTAAGCAGCAGCCATCCCATCCCACCCAGGCGGGTCTCAGTGCAGATGCTTGTCAGGGCAAGAGGGAAAATCTCCTGTGCAAACCTGGGACGTGCAGCGAGAGCAGCTCTGCAAAGGGAAGGGTTTGCCGCAGAGCTCATCCTGCAGCAACCAACCCACACTCCTAGCCAGGCCAGGGCAGTGGGGACACCTCTGCACCCAATCCCACCTTGGCCCAAGGGGCACAACCGCAGGGGTCATCACCCAGTGCCACCCAACAGCCCCGCACACCCACCCTTGCCCATGAGCATCCCACCCTGAGCAGGGCAAAGCCCTCCAGGAGCAAACCGCTGCCTCTGCCATCCTCCAGCACACAGCCACATCCCTCCCACTGGCATCACCCCCAGCCTGGCGGGATCCCAGCCTCCCCCGGCATCCCCGCGGCTCTGCTCCCTGCTCACCGGGGGCCTCAGGGACTCTCCTCATTAAGATGAGGTTAACGTGTGTTGTCAAACACGGGTCAGGGTTTAATCTCCACCGTTCCGGGCTCGGTGGGAGCGCAGCTGCTCCGGGAAGCGTGATGCTAAAGTGCCCTCTTGATTGCAGGTGGATAATAAGCTTTTGCTGTCGCTAACATACACCATCAATCAGGGAGCGCTCCGCCGGGGCTCCCCGCCGAGCCGGCTGCGCGGCACTGGGTGAGCACGGGCCCGACACGTTGGAAACAGGGGGTCTGGCTCAACCCTGCTGCGAACAGTACCAGGCACATGCCCCCCCATGGTGACACACTCCCTGGGAACCCCGGGGAGGGGATGGGGCTTGCACAGCCTGGCTTCTGCCAGCAGACCCCGCACGGCTGCCCCGCATGCTCCCTTCCTAACCCCAGCCATTTAAATGAGATTCTCAAGCCCAGAGTCCTAATTGGCAAGCGGCTGGCTGCTCCCCTGCCCCGGGATTCATTATTCATGCCGCTTCAAAGCCTCCAGAAACCGACTCATTAGAGGAGAAGTCATTAGGGACATGGCTCTGTGGCCTTGCAGAGGCAAAGCTCCTGTGCCACTGCAGAACCCGTGTGCTTTGGTCTCATCATGGAGCACAGGATGTCCTACACAGGGCAAGGGTTTGGACCATCCATCCATCCATCCATCCACCCACCCTCAACACTGCAGCAACAGGTGCCTTTGCAATTTGGGAAATGCTCCCCACATTCTGTGGGTACCCATGCACAACCAGGCTGGGGAGAGCGGTGTGATGGGGAAACAACCCCCTGCCGTGGCACGAGCCACCCAGGTCCTATCACACGGTGCTCTAGTCCCTCCTTTGTTGTGCTGGAGCCCTAACGACAGTCATACACGGATTATCCATCATGATATCCCACAACTCCCAGCCCTGCTGCTGGCAAAGCACCTCCGCTACCAGCTTGGGTGTGTGTGCGGACACCAACCCGCCTTTGTGACCCAAAACCAGCCCAACGCATCCCCTGCTGCAGCCAGTTCTC